TTTTTTTTCATTTTTATGAGAACTTTTTAGTTGTAAATAAAGCTATTTATATCAAACTTCTTTATATGTTTGGGTGCAGAAGATTTGTTTTGTTTGTCTTTTATACCTGCTGGACACTGCAGACACTGGATCGTACACATAGTAGAATAAAAGCCCAGAGGACAGTCATTACACACGGTGTGATCTGAGTTGGGCTCCATACCAGGTCCACACTATAAGACATGTTGACAAAAGAGAAGAAGAAAAAAAAAGAATGTATATTAAATTGTTTCAACTTTTGCCTCAAATGCACAGAATGTTGGAGGATTTAACTTCTTATCCACTATTATTAGGTCTGACCCTATAAGGGAAACCCGAGGTGCAGACAGAATCCACAGGACAGCTCAGACACTGCAGGACCCCCTCTGGCGAATGCTGTCCTGGGGGGCATAAATAAAGAATCCCAATGGTTGGATCACATGAGAAGCCTGCAGGACACAGCTTACAATCCACTCGTTCCTCTGAACTGATGAGATCTGGAAAACAAGGCTGCGACATAAAGAAATGAGCAATAAGAGCACACATGATGACAACAAAACAGCTTTGTAACTAATTATTAATTCCTGCATCGCTCTGCAGTCACTTGTCTTCACTTTGGCTCTTCTATGGGCTCTGCTATGACAAGTCATCATACTGTAGTTGAAACATGCATTTTCTCTTAATTTGAAAATAAAGCATGAAGCCAGAAGTGTTTTTGGTGTTTTGTTTTGCATTAACATGTCTTACCTTGCAGTCAGTGATACTGCTCTTCCCTGTGTACATGTTGAATGTTCCTGCTGGGCATCTTTGCGGTGCAGACGAATTGCCAGAGCAGCTATAAAACAAAAATAATTTATAATTTGTAATTTGTATAATTTATTATCCATTTTATAGAAAACTCTCTTACTAGTGAAAGAATACAGATCTAACAGTTCAAAAATGGTTGATGACTCACAAATGACCAGAGGGACACTCTAAGCAAAGCTGGTGGGAGAAGTGTTTTCCTCCTGGACACTGATCCACATCTGTTTCCTCACTGAGGGGGTAGTCTGCACTCCCTTCAGGCGTTACATAAATTATTGTTAGAACAATAGATAGAACATTCTCGTGTAGTCAGTGTGGTTCTGGTAGTTACTTAGTTTAATTTGTCAATATTTAAAAAGGAGTTGCTTACCTGAAGAAACTCCAGACTCTGTCCGCAGCAAAAAGATAGCAAAAGCTAAAAAGAAGCGCAGGTGTATTATTTCCCATGAACACATTATTGCTGAATCACTTAGAAATTGGTAGCAACTAAGTTAACGTTAAAGACTTAATGGAGTTAGTCTCCCAGAGTGATCGTTTAAAGACTTGAAAGTGAGAGGCCCCCAGCCACTAAAAGCGAAACGTGCATGAAATCTGATTCCCAGGTGGTTGCTTTAGCTGACAATAGTGTGCAGTAATGTTCGGTAACTATATCTGCTTCTTTCAATAATGCATGACGCGTTGAAGTTCACCTAGATGGTGTCTCTGCTGGTGGATCATTTAAATTATTTATGTTGCTCTTGTAAGTCATTAAGATGTAATAAAGAAGAAACTGGGTTTTTTTAACGTATTAAAAATGAAATTAAATCAATTCCATTGCCAAACATTAAATGTTTAATCACATAAGACCAATTATATTTTCACGAGGTAAAATTTTTAGGATAAATTATTTAATTACAGTGTAAAAGGAAATTCAAATGCAGCCTCTGTGGGTGCAGTGAGGACTAGTGGATCTGCAGACATTTTTGCGCCTGCACTTTGCAGGATGTCAGGTGCAATAAATGGAAAGTTATGAATATTTTTAAACAGCAGCGTAATCTTTGGGTTACCACTTCCTGTACCCTCACTCAAGCGTTGGAACATGTGTGTGGGTACTTAAGTGTGTTTGTGCAGGTGCATGCATCACCAGCCTACAGGAGCACAACAGATCCAGTTTCATCTTTTGAGGCAGGAGAAAATTAGAAAAACAGAGAACAGCAATGAACAGCTCAATCTATCTCACTTTACTCTTTTTTTGGATGACACGAGGTAAAGTTTCTATGATGTTTGTTATTGCCCTGGGCTTTAGATATTTCAAACACATTTATTTAGACAAACGCACGCTATTTGAGGTAACATTTTTTATTACCTTTCTTCACAGATTGTGTAAACTGTATTTACACGAAGACACCCATTGATTTAGTGACTGTGGAGTTGGGGGACTCCGTTACATTAAATTGCACTTACAATTGCTCCAGTGGATTCGTTCAAGGCTACTGGAGTAAAGCGCTCGACATCTTTGGCTGCCACATGATGTTTAGAGAAGGCAGCTTTTGCACAGTGTTTCTTTGTCTCACCAATGTGTCCGCGGGACATCTGAAAAACAACTACACTTGCTACACAGTAGATAAAGAGGATCCTCAGCTTCAACAAAAAACAGAGCGTCTCTTTTTGCTTCAGCTTCGAGGTAGATAAACTTTAGTTTATGCAAATATGTGCAGCTGCTCAGTAAAGAGGTAAGCAAATTGGATTTCACTTTAATTTTTCCTTTTTTCAGCTCAGAGAAGTCTTCCAAGCACAGATGCTCCAAAAAATCACAACAAAAATGGTAAGAAGCTGTGATTTGAAGAGATGCAAAAATTTTCATAGCTGTAGCTGAACATTTTTGAGCATGACTTTCATTTAATATATTGCATTCTTCATTCTTCAGCATCTTTTCCTGCCAAGCCAAATTCACCTGGAGGTGAGATGGGACTCGGAAACAGTGGATATTATGAAAACTTTTAAAGAGAATCATTGTTAATACTTATTAACATCTGTATGGAGAAGGGAGAAGTAAATGTTTGCCTTTCGATCCAGTTCAGTCTAAGTTAATACTGTTGTTTCCATGTTAACAGGAGAATTTACTGGGATTAAGGTTTTGGCAACAGTTTCCGTAGCTGTAGCCCTGGTTCTTGCAGCATTGGCTGTATACCTGTGTTTTAATCGGAACAGACAGAACTGGAACGGTAAAGGTGATCACAAGATACTACACTGTGAACATACACCAGCTTTAAAAAGTTCTGAATGATAAAATATACACAACTGTGTCTGTATAACTATTTAACATTATATTGATAATATCTCATATTCCAGAGGAGCCTGTTGTGTCCAAATTGGAGTGAGTACAATTTCAGAACTTCTCTTTATTTAAATCTGAGTTCAATTACCTTTAAATGTTAGACTTGCAATATTCTTTATTGGGCCTTTTGCTATATGTTTTCCTTTTCAGCTCACCACAATCACCACATGTAGCTCAGCTACAGATAAAAGGTAAACAGTTTTAAATATCAAATGTAAAAGCGACAAATACGAGCTTCAGTTTTTGTTCCTTCTATTATTCATACCTGTCCTATTTCTCAGGGTCAACACAAAGTGAAAGGGTGACTTTGAGGATTCCTCCACCAGGTAAGACAATCTCAACACTTTTCATTTGAATGACACCTTATCATCATCTGCCCTATAGAAACAAAGACAATAACTAATGAAACAAATGCTTTCTCTGACCCAGATAATGAGAGTGATACTGAAGTTCCTTATGCTGACATTATGATCACCGTCCGTGGTGTCAGCACACCAGAACTCACTCAGGTTGGCTACCTGATAGCCGGAGACCAAAATGAGGTGAGAGACAAAGTAGTAAACATGTTTGTTACTTGTGTTTCACTGAGCTCAGATTCGAAACGTTATTTCCCATGCTCTATTACCAGCTATTTGCAGTGTGCTGCAGCTCACATACCTGTGCATGATTCTGAATTGCTAACTGCAGAATATATTAGCAATGAGATTCATTTTATATCAGAAAAGTTCATGTGTTCATCTTACTTGTTCAAAAAGTTTCTTTTACTCATTTCATATGTGAGGAATGCTATAAATAAAGCTATAAGCAAAAAGTATTTTTTAAGGTTTTAAACAAATTGTGGCTTTTTTTATATACATGTAATTGTAAGGCATTGCTTTGCACACATGCCACATGCAATTTTGCTTTGCACACACACAATTTTGCTTTGCACACATGTAACAGTGGTTACCTTCTTTTAAGTGGTTACCTTGTATAGATGTGCTTTGATAATTTAGAGGAGAAAAAAAACAGAAAAGCCTACAACCAGTATTTCTATTACCAGAGTTATTTTATCTAACTAAATGTTAACTAAAAACTAAAAGTGGATGGGAAAACAAACAAACTTTAATTAACTCAAATAAAAACACAAACTTGAAAAACTAAATAGCTAAAATAAAATAAAAAATAGATGAAGTTTTAGTATTTGTTAGTTTGGTAAAAAAAAAAAAAAAATGTTATCACAGCTTATCTCATGAGGTTTTGATTACTAAGACTTTGAATGTCTTCAAGACTGAGTCAAGTTTTTTCAAAACGTTCTGTGTTTTTTTTATAATACCTGTGCTGATTTCCATTAATCTTGCCCACATAGACGTATATTTAAAAAAAAGTCTAAAACTGAACTAAAACCAATAAATAAATAAACAAATAAATAAAAGCTAGTAAAAAAGTGCGAAAGTATAAAAACTCTGTTTATAGCACAAACACATTAGGGGTCTTTTTTTTCCCTTCTTCCCCTCCAGCGGTGGGGAGATAAACCGAGGTGTCACCTGCAGGCCTCTCGTTCAGCTGACAGACTGCATGTTCCCCAGGTCAGAGAGGTCAGCCGCAAGATGAGCACCAACTCTGAGTATGCAGTGATCACCTACGCCTGACTTCGACTCCTGCTGCAGAGGAATGTGAAGAAGAAATAGAGATGTGTTTTTTATGTATATATGGTTTTGAAGGATGTATTTGTTTTCCATTTACCGGTATGCTTTTTTTTTTTTTATTCTATTGTTCGCGTGGTGTCTGTATTGAGCCTTTATATTCAATAAAGCTGTCATTTCTTGACTTGCATGTCATTTGACCCTTCCTGATGGCCGTAGTAGCGCTAATCGTTGCTTAGAAACAACTATCAACAAAACACTCCGGGGTGAACAGTTGGTTTGGGGTTGCTGCCAGTTTTTAGGTATCCACTGTGACTAATTCATAATTTTTTTTATTAAGGTTTCTGGTATTTTGAAGTCAGTTAATGAGAGTCGGTTAGAGCTAGTTGTCACAGACGTTAGTGCCCCCTTAAAAAATGGCAGTGCCTTTCTCAAATACTCACCTGCGGGTCCCGCGAGGATTTGGTAACATACTAGAGGGACTGACCCATGAAGTCCTACGAGACCAGCCTGAAGACATCCCCAAATATGCCGCGCATTACTTCGAAGCTCTTCTAAAAGAAAGAGAAGGTAACTATAACTTTCTAACTTTTAACGTGATGAAGTAACAGTATGTCCCGTTCAAAGGTTTGTGTATGTTTCTTTTCTTCGCTAAATACTTGTAATAGTTTGCCTAACATATTTCCCATAAGTACCTCGAAATTACTAGCATGTCCTTGTGACTTTGTATAATGTAAATGAAATTGAATTGACCTGAAAAGTACGGCTTTTCTGTCATTGCAGAGAGTGGCATGGACCCTGCCGAGTGGGCTGCTAAACTGGAAGATAGATTCTACAACAACCATGCGTTCAAGAGCCCTGAGGTAGTTGTATAAATTTAGGTTATGGTCGCACCATACTTGTGCAACCTCATTCCCCAAAGAGTTGGACTGCTGTGTAAACTGTAACATGAAACAAAATGCAGTGATATACAAGATACTCAATAAGAAAAAAGAATAATCAATTCTGTGTTTACCTGAAAATGGTACCAACAGATATCAAAGGCTAAAAACATAATTAGAATTTTATATAAATGTAATATCTGCTCATGTTTAACTGGACAAAACATTAAAAAAGAAAAAAATCACCAAGAAAACTGCAGGCTAATGTTCCAAAGACTGGTTTTGAAAGCATATATTGCCTTTAGTTGCTCGGCATATTATTTCAAAAGTTGTTGTTCTTTTTTGTCATATATTGTGGTTCGCAATGGGCCAGAAGTTTTTATTGGATGACAGGTTTTAACTGCAAACAGGCCAGTTTAGCTCTCTGACCTATACTGCAGATGCCTGCTGTTGTAAATACAGTGCCTTCACATTTTTATTTATTTTTTTAGTTTGTCACACTTAAATGTTTCCAAAAAAAGATTTCATTTATTATGAGAAAAACCTACCTGGTGTCATGACATGGTCTAAAGAAACACAAGAACAGATAAGAAATAAGGTCTGCAAGTAAAAGACAAATAAAAGTCCATCTCAAAATGGCTCAGAAAAACAAAATCAAGGCTTTGGGGTTACCTAGTCAAAGTCTGGACTTAAATTAGATTGATTCCATTTGCTATGACTTAAAACAGGCTGTTCATGCTGCAAAAACCCTAGTCCTCCAATGCGAAATAAAACAAAGACATTGCAGCATATATGGTTAACTTTTTACAAAATGTGGTCCTGCAATCTGTGAAGCTTGAGATCCTGCCACCAGTGTTTGATAGAGAAAAGAAATCTCATGTGACCATTAAATCTGCTCCTCTACCATCAAAAACTAGTACTTGTTGGTCTTCTAAACAGGAGGAGTGCAGCCAGTCCCAGAAGAAGGAGGACATTGTGGACATCATGGACATCCCCCTGGATGATCCCGAGGCCAACAGGGCTGCTGCCAAAATTCAGGCTGGCTTTCGTGGCCACATGAATCGTAAGGAGCTGAAGCCAGAGGTCAAAGAAGGAGATAAGGTGAGCAACATTGGAGGTGTGTTCAACAGCAGCCAGTTGGACTGAGCTTGGGTATGAGAGATATAAGGCAGTTAATGAGGGCTAATCGCATCAGGTGCAACAATTAGATGTAGTGAAATAAGATAATTAAAAACATTAGTTAGTTGTTTAAGCATAAACCAATTCAACATTTTAGGGAAAATTTTCAGAGTTTAAAAAAATTAATTTACTAAATAAAAAGTTTGATATTGTCTTTGATGCAAGAGGAAAATTTAAGGGAAAAACTCAGTTTTACAAAAGATAAAGGAGGAATGTTCTGAGAATTAAAGCAAAAAAAAAATTATAAGTGAAACTAATTATTTTTTCTTCCCCATTCTTCAAACTTGGATCAAGCTCACTGCACCACAGACAGACAGTCATAGTAAGGAAATTTGAAGAGACATTTCCATGAATTGGGCAGCCTGTTCAACAGCAAGACGGCAAAGATCCAACTTTAGTACTACTCCTACATTGCAATAGAGAGACCAATATGACCATTGCTTCTTACAGTCTTGCTGCCGTGTTTTATCGAGAGCACTTTTTGAGTCTTGGGTCTGTCTGATGAAATAATGAGGTTTAAGGACAAAAACACAATTTTCTCTCATTTCTGGAAATATTCATGACTATTCGAGGATTAATTGCACTAATGTGCCATCTTAATAAAACATCTCAAACATGAGTCCTACCATTAAAGCAACTGAATAATCACTACATGATAAGCAAACAAATTTTATGCATGGTCTTAGGCAATTTAACATAGTTTGATGTTTTAGGTATGTATCCAAATACTGACTAATGTGGGAACACAAAACAGTTTTCCATTTACACAGTAGAAAAAAAATCAGTTTAAATAGTATATTCGTCTTCTTCTTCTTCTTCTTCTTCTCCTTCTTCTTCTTCTGGCTATTCTCGTTAGATCTCACCACATTGGATCTGTTTCCATCTCACCCTATGGTCAGCATCCTCCTTTATCACAGACCCCCCTGCATGTCCTCCTTCACTACATCCATAAATCTTCTCTGTGGTCTTCCTCTTTTCCTCCTGTTGGATAGCTCCGTATATAACTTCTTTTGTCCAGTACATCTCGCCTCTGTCCATTCTAACGAGCCTTGCCTCTCTAACTTTGTCTCCAAGCTGCTCTACCTAAGTTGACCTTCTGATATACTAATTTCTATGCTCTCCTTCTGTCACAAATCATCTCTGACACTCATCCCCTCCCACTCCACCCTGCCTGCACTCTTTTCTTCTTAAACTCATATACCTTCACTACCTCTACTCCTTGCAGCTTCACTTACACCTGTCTCCCTCGACTCACACATATGTAATCTGTTTTGCTTTCCTTCTCTCTCACTGCCTCCTAACATGCCTTCCCCCTTTACTCTTCATTTGTCTTTGGCTAACAGTAGCACAGTTTCCACCGGCACCCTGTTGGCAAACAGCACCAGAGGCGGTCATTGTTAACCTGGGCCCCAACTGATCCGGTATGGAAATCTCATTCTTGATGTTTGTTCGATTTGGCAAAGATTTTAAACTGGATGCCCTTTCAGCAACCATCCCCATTAATCTGGGCTTGTGACTAGAAGTACACTGGTTTGAGGTGACAGTGAGCCCAATTGCAGTTATGTAAAGCCGATGAGAAGCTCTGTAAGCACAGTTCACTTGAGTCAAAAAAAGACTGTACAGCATCTA